TGTGACTCTATGATGTCTGTTGTGACTCTATGACGTCTGCTTGTTGTGACTCTATTACGTCTGTTGTGACTCTATGATGTCTGTTGTGACTCTGTGATATCTGCTTGTTGTGACTCTGTGATGTCTGTTGTGACTCTATGACGTCTGCTTGTTGTGACTATATGATGTCTGTTGTGACTCTATGATATCTGCTTGTTGTGACTCTGTGATGTCTGTTGTGACTCTATGATGTCTGTTGTGACTCTGTGATATCTGCTTGTTGTGACTCTATTACGTCTGTTGTGACTCTATGATGTCTGTTGTGACTCTGTGATATCTGCTTGTTGTGACTCTGTGATGTCTGTTGTGACTCTATGATGTCTGCTTGTTGTGACTCTATGATGTCTGTTGTGACTCTATGATGTCTGCTTGTTGTGACTCTGATGTCTGTTGTGACTCTATGACGTCTGCTTGTTGTGACTCTATGACGTCTGCTTGTTGTGACTCTATGATGTCTGTTGTGACTCTATGACGTCTGCTTGTTGTGACTCTATGATGTCTGTTGTGACTCTATGACGTCTGCTTGTTGTGACTCTATGACGTCTGCTTGTTGTGACTCTATGATGTCTGTTGTGACTCTATGACGTCTGCTTGTGACTCTGTGATGTCTGTTGTGACTCTATGATGTCTGCTTGTTGTGACTCTATGATGTCTGTTGTGACTCTATGATATCTGTTGTGACTCTACTATGTCTGTAGTGACTCTGTGATATCTGCTTGTTGTGACTCTATGATGTCTGTTGTGACTCTATGATGTCTGTTGTGACTCTATGACGTCTGCTTGTTGTGACTCTATGATGTCTGTTGTGACTCTATGACGTCTGCTTGTTGTGACTCTATGACGTCTGCTTGTTGTGACTCTATGATGTCTGTTGTGACTCTATGACGTCTGCTTGTGACTCTGTGATGTCTGTTGTGACTCTATGACGTCTGCTTGTTGTGACTCTATGACGTCTGCTTGTTGTGACTCTATGATGTCTGTTGTGACTCTATGACGTCTGCTTGTTGTGACTCTGTGATGTCTGTTGTGACTCTATGACGTCTGCTTGTTGTGACTCTATGATGTCTGTTGTGACTCTATGACGTCTGCTTGTTGTGACTCTATGACGTCTGCTTGTTGTGACTCTATGATGTCTGTTGTGACTCTATGACGTCTGCTTGTTGTGACTCTGTAATGTCTGTTGTGACTCTATGACGTCTGCTTGTGACTCTGTGATGTCTGTTGTGACTCTCTGATGTCTGCTTGTTGTGACTCTATGATGTCTGTTGTGACTCTATGATATCTGTTGTGACTCTACTATGTCTGTAGTGACTCTGTGATATCTGCTTGTTGTGACTCTATGATGTCTGTTGTGACTCTATGATGTCTGTTGTGACTCTGTGATATCTGCTTGTTGTGACTCTATGATGTCTGTTGTGACTCTATGATGTCTGTTGTGACTCTGTGATATCTGCTTGTTGTGACTCTATTACGTCTGTTGTGACTCTATGATATCTGCTTGTTGTGACTCTATGACGTCTGCTTGTTGTGACTCTATGATGTCTGCTTGTTGTGACTCTATGATGTCTGCTTGTTGTGACTCTATGATGTCTGCTTGTTGCGTCTTGTCTGTAATAAGGTCCTCCATGTTTGTAAAGTATTTGATTAATATAAAGGACATGAATAGGAAAATATCACAGAATCGAATCACGATACTTTACTGTATCGCGATATTTATAGTGTGGTCCAAATATCGCAATACTATCGAATCATCACATTTTTGCCGATTCCCAGCCTTTCACATGAGTTCCTCTAATATTGCATGCTGGTCGTTCTCGGTTGGCTCATTCTATGCTCTACAGACAGACAGACGCCGGCCGGCCAATAGGAAGCATGGACGGTGAGGTACACACGTTACGACAGGACCTCACGGTACGACAACAGGACTGTTTCTGACCAACGAGAGAAGAAGCACGACGAGAGAGAATATCGGAACTGTCCGTTTGGAATGATGGGCGGTTCTTTGCTCGGTTATGGTTCGGCACAATTTAAATAAAACAAAAACACTACAAAAATCCATTCGCAAATCTGAAATATTCTGGGAATCTGCAAAGGAAAAAGGCAGCCCCTCCCACACCTGTACAACACATGCTTTAGAAAACTGTACAGGGACCTCCGAGTCTTCAGGGGTCTCCATGGGGTTAGTGGCATTTCAGGCTCGATGGATTAGTTAAGAATCATCTAAATAGCTAGGCTTTACAATTAGCAAAATTCTGGCGTATTTACACTCCTGTGAGTCGCTGGTCAAACTGGATAAGACTGTTACAGCCGGTGAACATCTGACATCTTCAAAAAGAACACTCAACAGAAAGGTCCTGAGTGTGCCTGCAGGACATGAACGCTACATCATGAAAGGACATATTATTAGAGGTACGATTTATCAAAATTACACGTCAATTATTCAAACCAAAAGCAAATAATAAATGCTTACAACTGTACATTTTATTCACAAGTTTATGGATTAAACTCTTAATGCTAAACATAAATAATGAAGATGTGGCAGGAGCAGAGTCTGGGAAAGGCGCTGACGTCAGAGGAACACGGAGCACGTGAATAAAAACAACATTAACAGTCGAAAGAAGGTGGTCACATGACGTGTTACTGAGCTGTACACATGAGGAGCAGACAAAGTGGAGAGTGGCCGTTTGCTGAATGATTCAAGTAGCGGTGGAGAAGTGAGTCTCCAGTTAAACTGTAGCTGAGATCTAAGTGAGTGGAGGAGATGGAGCCTCTGTCCCGCAGAGACCACCATCACACTCCTGTGTCTGGGTAAAGCCATGTGCACTTGTGGCCCTGAGCTAACTGTGCGATACCAACAAACAATGATTCAACCTATTCCAGAGTAATCTACTTCCATTTATATAAAGTCAGAAACTGTGGATACAACTCTAATATGCTGCTCAGCAGTACTTTCACCGGATTCAACATGAAATGTCTTTAAGACGTGGTAAATGTATGCACCTCCCTCCAGAGAGAGCTGCGCTGTGGCATTCAGAGTGTCATCCTGCGTCAGGAACTGTGTAGTGAGGACTTGGCTGTGTGGCTCTAAAAGGGGCTGTTCTTGGAGATGTGACTGAGGAGATTCTTCCACAAAGAGAGATGGTTTTGGTGGAGCTCGGGGCACAAGGCTCTCCATTCATGAGGCTCCACCTGCAGCACCTCCGAGAGCTCACTATTCATGAACTGGTTGATATGCAGAAAAGCAGAACTGCGGAGGCTGTGGATGGAGCACACCCTGACTCTATGGTCGGGTCTCACCACATGAAGGAAAGTGTATTGGAGCATACTGCTAATGCATTCTGGGAAACACGAGTTTGGATAGTGGAGCCTGTTTCTCTGGAGTTTGACTGTGGCTTTTGTCTGAGCGACTGAGGCATGTGTGAAACACAGACATGTCCAGGCCACAGCTCATATGTTCCTAAGCTTCTTCTACAGAGAAAGCTCTGATGAAGGAGGCCATTTTAAAGCAGCTGTGAGCCTGAAACAGTGTCGTCATGAGAAGCTGTAATATCCTTGGCAAAGTGAAATCTGACGCCTGCTAAAGTTGGAACATCCCCCTCACACTAGCTTTGTCTAGGTACTACACGCACATCTCAGGCCTGTGTTTGAGGCTGAATCAACCCAATAATTACAGACCTTTTCACGAGCGGCTCACAGTCAGCGAGAGGCAGAGTCTGTGCTCTGATAAAGCCCCGATATCAGGAGCACCGTCCTCTCGGTCTACAGCTGGTCTACAGTCGGTCCACAGTTGGTCTACGGCCGGTCTGCGGCCGGTTTGCTGCCGGTCTACAGCAGATATATCTGCTCAGCTCTGCCCACACTGGAGATTGCACCGCAGACCAGTGTACCTGTGCTACTCCTCAGTCTTTGGTAAAGTTTTCTATGTGCTTGAAAGAGACTTGTTTCTCACATTTGTGTCCACTGTGCAATAAGTGTGATTTTATGGCTAATTGAAAGTTTTCACAGCTGCTTTAAAACGAGTCCGTATCCATAAAGAAAGAACCTCAGTCCTCTGTGGCTCAGAATGTGACGGAAGTCAAATAGAAGAATGGAAAGTAAAGGTAATGTGAAACTGGTTCCACTGAAACAGCAGCAGAGTGCAAACGAGTGTAAGGCTGTCATGGATGGATGTGTCTTCACTGGGGGCATTCTTTCAAGCTAAAGGCCTTCCCTGAGTGGGACGACGTCTCCGTCGACTCTGTAAAGTGATCAGTCTATTGTGCAGTCAGTGTGAGAAAATGTGTGGTTTACAAAACTGTCTGTCCTGAGGTGTGTGTGCGCCCCTCCTGTTCAGACCAACACAATACAGCGACCATGGAAAACTAAAACTCTGTGCTTCATGTTCAATGATCTCACTGTGAGCAGCACTGACGCGGCGACAGAGGCCAGCAGCCAGATTCCACTGCAGGGTACGGGACAGAGGGACCCCCCTGAGAGGCACCACCTCAGAACATCAACTTTATCTCCAGGAGAAAGGACCCATGTGCAAGACTGCGAGTTTGGATTCTGAGAAAGTACCAGTTTGATTGATGCTATAAGGCGCCACAACTCTAACTGTAAACATGTTTTCATCTTTAAAAGTGAAACGCCTCTGTGTGTGTCTCGTCCACAGAGAGACTCTACTTTATCATCAGCAGACCCACATTTGTGATCCGTATCAGGGTCGTGCTAAAGCCATGGTGTCATTCCCAACAGCTTTGGGGAAATCTTTGGAGTTCTGTCCCGTACGAAGCAGTGGAAATGTGGCTTTGGTCTCCGCCCCCTCCGGACGCCACATGGTCACATGGTCAGTGCACTACCATAAACGGTTATGTACAGGATGGTCCACCACACCACAGCGAGTGTGGGAATAGCAGGGAGTTGGCGAGTACTGTGCAACACAAGTTTTGATGAAGGAACGGGCCTCGGAAAAGTGCGCGAGTTTAAGGCGAGCTGGCGGGGCTGGGGGCGGGGCTCAGGGCGGGGCTGGGGTCAGGGCTCAGGGCGGGGCTGGGGGCGGGGCTGGGGTCAGGGCTCAGGGCGGGGCTAGAGGCGTCTGAGCGGCTGTAGTCGCTGACGGAGCTGGGCCGGACGTTATGGCTGCGTTTGAGCATGGCGGGGTGGAAGTCGGAGTGGCGGCGGGCGTGCTTCATCAGGTGGTCGCTGCGCATGAACCTCTTGTCGCAGAGCGGGCAGCCGAACTTCTTCTCTCCGGTGTGGGTGCGGTAGTGTCGCGCCAGCTCGTCGGAGCGCGCAAACTTCTTACTGCAGTCTTGCCACGTGCAGGGGAAGGGCCTCTCACCTGCAAACAGCCACAACAAAGATTTAGCAATTTAATTCAAAGTGTTTTTGTATCGCCCTAAATCACAGCAGTAGATATCTTTGTCCGAACACAAGAAATGCAACGATAAAAAGCACAGAGAGACATCGGTCCATGAGGAGAGACCTGGATCATCACCGCTGTCCTTAGACCTTCAACCAGTAGCTCTCTAGCCTCTTTCAGGTAGCTCCCCAAAGGATTCAGAATTTAACACATGATCTTGAATGAATATATTTTTAGTCATGACCTATCTATTATAAGTATAAATATAGGGTTATACAGAACTGTTGTATATTTACGTGTTCTCTGTGTTTTGTCCTAATTATTACATAGAATATTACCATTGCGAAAAGGAGTAGCTCCCTGCCTCATGTGTTGCATAAAAGTAGCTCTCCAATTAAAACAGGTTGGATACCCCTGCCTTAGACCCTCCTGCATCTGCGAGGAACAACTCTAAAACCCAGTGGGAGAAAGTGAGAAACCCCGGGGAGGCCCACAGTGAGGGAGGGATCTGCTCCCACTGACAGACCAACTGTAGGTCTAGGACTCAGGCTGTAGAACGAGGACCGAGACCACGCGATGCAGGACTGAGGCGGCTCCCAGGACTGAGGCGGCTCCCAGACAGAGAGGGCTCCACACTGCATTTGTCTAATAATAATAATAATAATGCTCCAAGCTGAGACATATACACATACGCACGCAATTATTCATTCGCTCCATACACAGTGATACGCCTGCTCTGGGGGACATTAAGTATTTAAATTCAGTTTTGTGAATGACGGAGCCAAAGATATTGCAGATATAGAAATGGGTCAACAGTCTAAAAAAGCCTTAACACGATTGTACAGATGTGTTGACACCAGCAAAATCCAAATGTGTCACGGCAGCCACCATGACGTCTGAGCGATGGTTTTATTTCCTCTTTTAGAAGCGGCGCTAACTCCTCTGTTGCTTTAGCACAGTGTTTTTCAACCACCGTCAGTGAGACTTCTCATTATTATTATTATTATTATTATTATTATTATTATTATTATTATTGTTATTATTATTATTTCCGTAGACGATCCGGTTGTTGTGGTCTTTGGGTGCCTCAAACCCCGTCTGAATTAATGCCGTGCTTGACATCAATGATACAGGTGTGTCATGTGACATCAATGATACAGGTGTGTCATGTGACATCAGAGATACAGGTGTGTCATGTGACATCAGTGATACAGGTGTGTCATGTGACATCAATGATACAGGTGTGTCATGTGACATCAGAGATACAGGTGTGTCATGTGACATCAGTGATACAGGTGTGTCATGTGACATCAATGATACAGGTGTGTCATGTGACATCAGAGATACAGGTGTGTCATGTGACATCAGTGATACAGGTGTGTCATGTGACATCAATGATACAGGTGTGTCATGTGACATCAGAGATACAGGTGTGTCATGTGACATCAGTGATACAGGTGTGTGTACAGTGCTCAGGTGTGTCATGTGACATCAGTGATACAGGTGTGTCATGTGACATCATGATACAGTGTGTCATGTGACATCAGTGATACAGGTGTGTCATGTGACATCATGATACAGGTGTGTCATGTGACATCAGTGATACAGGTGTGTCATGTGACATCAGTGATACAGGTGTGTCATGTGACATCAGTGATACAGGTGTGTCATGTGACATCAGTGATACAGGTGTGTCATGTGACATCAATGATACAGGTGTGTCATGTGACATCAGTGATACAGGTGTGTCATGTGACATCATGATACAGGTGTGTCATGTGACATCATGATACAGGTGTGTCATGTGACATCAGTGATACAGGTGTGTCATGTGACATCAGTGATACAGGTGTGTCATGTGACATCAGTGATACAGGTGTGTCATGTGACATCAGTGATACAGGTGTGTCATGTGACATCAGTGATACAGGTGTGTCATGTGACATCAGTGATACAGGTGTGTCATGTGACATCAGTGATACAGGTGTGTCATGTGACATCAATGATACAGGTGTGTCATGTGACATCAATGATACAGGTGTGTCATGTGACATCAGTGATACAGGTGTGTCATGTGACATCAGTGATACAGGTGTGTCATGTGACATCAGTGATACAGGTGTGTCATGTGACATCAGTGATACAGGTGTGTCATGTGACATCAGTGATACAGGTGTGTCATGTGACATCATCAGTGATACAGGTGTGTCATGTGACATCAGTGATACAGGTGTGTCATGTGACATCATCAGTGATACAGGTGTGTCATGTGATCAGGGTGTCATGTGACATCATGATACAGGTGTGTCATTGACATCAATGATACAGGTGTGTCATGTGACATCAGTGATACAGGTGTGTCATGTGACATCAATGATACAGGTGTGTCATGTGACATCAATGATACAGGTGTGTCATGTGACATCAGTGATACAGGTGTGTCATGTGACATCAGTGATACAGGTGTGTCATGTGACATCAGTGATACAGGTGTGTCATGTGACATCAGTGATACAGGTGTGTCATGTGACATCAGTGATACAGGTGTGTCATGTGACATCAATGATACAGGTGTGTCATGTGACATCAGTGATACAGGTGTGTCATGTGACATCAGTGATACAGGTGTGTCATGTGACATCAGTGATACAGGTGTGTCATGTGACATCAATGATACAGGTGTGTCATGTGACATCAGTGATACACAGGTGTGTCATGTGACATCAGTGATACAGGTGTGTCATGTGACATCAGTGATACAGGTGTGTCATGTGACATCAATGATACAGGTGTGTCATGTGACATCAATGATACAGGTGTGTCATGTGACATCAGTGATACAGGTGTGTCATGTGACATCAATGATACAGGTGTGTCATGTGACATCAGTGATACAGGTGTGTCATGTGACATCAGTGATACAGGTGTGTCATGTGACATCAATGATACAGGTGTGTCATGTGACATCAGTGATACAGGTGTGTCATGTGACATCAATGATACAGGTGTGTCATGTGACATCAGTGATACGGTGTGTCAGTGTGTGTCATGTGATACAGGTGTGTCATGTCAATGATACAGGTGTGTCATGTGACATCAATGATACAGGTGTGTCATGTGACATCAGTGATACAGGTGTGTCATGTGGATCCCAGCTGCAGCCAAAGCCACTCATTGAGATGTTCCTGAATGTGATTTATGAGTGGCTCAAACCAACAGCTGTATTCAAAGCGAGCCATAAAGAAGAGAACAGTCCTGTTACACCTTTTTACGACTGCAGCTCACATTACAGCACTTTGTTGTCGGTCGCTACGTGAGAATCATGAGAACGGAGATACACACACACACAAACACACACACACACACGAGAGGGTTCTCCAGGTCTAAATAAAAGCAGAGGTGGTGAGAATGAGACAGATCCAGAGGCAACGCTGTCATTAGACGTTTACAAGAGAACGAGTCATCGAGTGTTCGCACGTGCACATAACTGAGACACGCTCCAGGCACACACACACGCACACACACACGCACACACACACACACACACACACGCACACACACACACACACACACACACACACATGCTCCAGGCCAGACCGACAAGCCCGAGCCGTCTGAGCGGACACTGTCTCAGCTAAACTCAAAGGTTCTGGGAGTGCTTATCTAGATTTAACTGTTGGCTGATACTTTGTCTTCAGCCTGTTATAGTTTCCTCAAACATTTGGTGCTTTTTTGGTCATGTATCGACTTGGAGCAGCTTGGAACTGACATTTAGCTCATTGGGGAATCTCTATCACTTGTTTTTAGGCACTTTTCCAATCCAACTACATCTTTACACTGCAAAAATTGATAAAAAACAAGTAGAAAAATGCAAAAATTTGGCTAAAATCTATCATAATTTGAGCACATTTTGACAGGATTTGCCAATGGGACCAAGCTAAAGAAAGCAAAAGAAATGTCTCCCTTAATGAGGAAATGAAGCAAAATGTCTTGAAATAAAACTAAAAGCCTTTGTCCCTTTGGAGAATCTTGTTTGAACACAGTCAGAATTTACTCAAATAAAATAAAAACCACTCGATTCAAACTATTTTACATCATTTCTTTATAATTTTTTGCAGTGAACCATTTGGTAAAGGCCTGTAATTAAAATAACTGTACATTGCGTTCTTCAAGGATTGAGGATAAAAGGGTTAAACATTGAATCATAAAAAACGGCTGTTATCAGTTTGAACAAAGCACTGTAATAATCTTGAACTTGTTTTTTAAACTGGTTTTGGTTTCTCAGTGACAAAATATGAATACATTTGATTTCTTAGGCGCCTTGGCAGACACTCAAGGCCGCCTTACGTCAAGACAGTTAAAATGCAAAGTTAAAAACAGCCCAAACAGATGCAGATAAAGAATAAATCAGCCACTTTAGTTTGCCATTGGCTGCTTTGAGATGCTAAATGAGGTGTAGCATTAGCATTTATACATACTGTGATTTCCAGACTATAAGCCACACCCGATTATAAGCCGCAGTATCTCATTTTTAGCTCAAAATTTAGTTTTATACTTGCACAAGCCACACCCGATTATAAGCCGCAGTATCTCATTTTAGCTCAAAATTTAGTTTTATACTTGCACAAGCCGCACCCGATTATAAGCCGCACATGTTATTGATATGGAAAAATATAACTCAAAAACTTTCATCATGTTCTTATTCCTGTAAGAAGTGACGATAAGGAGCAACATTACCAGTGCTCTTTTTGCGTTCATGTCGATAAAAAGAACGAAAAAGCAATTTATTATGACATATTTACACAAGGATTATTTCTAGCACCATACATAAAAATATAAAGAATTACGCCGCATCTTAATATAAGCAGCAGACTTCAAAATGCAGGACCGCGGCTTATAGTCCGAACAATACGGTATATAACATCTGTGAGAGCTGAGGTTGGTTGAAAAGCTTTATCCATAGCTACATCAGAGCCATAGACATATTATTGTGCCATAATGAAAAACAAATGTCATTGCAAACACACACATGGATTCCTAGCTTTACAATGAGGTATAACAGGCCATTACTGGAGAAGGGGAAGTTGGCTGGATGACACTATGAACTTGTGTTTGTAATCTCAGTGTCATTTTGGGTTAGCGAGGCATGGGGCCACATAGAATGACACAGCGGGCCGCAAATGTCCCTCGGGCCTTAGTTTGGCATCTCAAATCTAGTCTTAAAGCTCCAACGTTGTTTAAAAGATCTTTCACTTGTACCACGGTGGGGAAATTCCAGTGTTGCATCGCCAGCGACGGAACAGTAGGAATGAGGAGCACACAGAACAAGTAAAATGAACAATAATTATATACTAAAATTAAATAAAATCTCTAACTTTAGCATAATAGAGATGCAAGAATTAAGTATAAAATCTGACTTAAGCAAAAGAAAGAAGCAAGTACAAAGTATACAGATTTTTTTTTTTTTGTATGACTGAGATATTTATTGTGTTTTATCATGGGGAGGAAGGGGAGGGGATCGGGGATAAAAAATAAAAATAAAATACAATAATAATAATAATAAAATTAAAAAAAATAATAATAAATAAATAAAAAAGTATACAGATTTTTAAAAACATGGCTGCTTGTCGTGAGTGGGCTCGCCTCTCCACAAACATGACTCATCCTTGTCTCCCTGTGATTGCCTTTGTGGAAATGTCGTTCTTTTGGCGACAGTTTGACTCAGAAAGATTATTGTTGTTGGAACTAACACAGAAATACATGTGTTAGAATTGAAATTAAATGAGAAAACATGAGGAGCACCGACTTCACGGACTGAAAAACTGTCTTGACTGGCATCGGGCTGTTCTGAGATTTAAAATGATCCACAACTGAGCTGAAGTTGGCTGAAT